AAATTACAAGATATAAAATTATTAATTTGACATTACTTCACTTGTCGTGCTCCATTGTCCGTCCTCCAAAATCGTTCCGCTATCGTTACTCTTATTATTATACAAATTGTTTACGGTGGAAATGTAACTAACACATGGCATGAGAGTTTTCTTTTGGAATTTTTTCCGGCTACAAATCAAAAGTCTTCAGGATTAAGCTCGACCCTGTGGAAACATAAGAAGAGACGTCTTCTATGCTAAGTTATTGAATATATCTATTCTGTGTCAAGATAAAAATCAAGTCTTGCTCGAAAAAGATAGGATCTGTATGGTATATCATATATACCAAAATTTGTCTCTCTCTTTTCTAGTTTTCCTCGATTGTTAATTCCTAAGATTCTGATTGAATTATAAAAAAAATCTGGGTCGTTTCTTGGTGGGTTTTGTGTTTCCTTATCTGGGTATCTCAATTTCGATCGGTTGATTGATTGATAAACGGGAAGGACCAGGTGGGAAGATGAGAGGAAGGGTAGGGTTCTTAGTTTGCATTTGGGTTTTGCTATGGGGGTCTTGTTTTGGGAGGTTTGTGGTGGAGAAGAACAGCTTGAAAGTGACTTCTCCAGAATCAATTAAGGGTGTTTATGAATGTGCTATTGGGAATTTTGGGGTTCCTCAATATGGAGGTTCCTTGGTTGGTACTGTTGTTTATCCCAAAGCCAATCAAGGGGGATGCAAGAGTTTCGACGACTTCGACATCTCCTACAAATCAAAGTCTGGTAGTCTCCCCGTATTTCTCCTGGTGGATCGAGGAGGTGAATTTTTGTCTCCCCCCAGTTTCACGTTGTTGAGTAATTTCGATTTGAATTTTATTACTTTTTTTGAATTTTTTTTTTTCACTTTTCTATTTTGTGCATCCATCCTGTTTTTGGTTTTTGGTGATTCAAATTCCTCTTTTTGTTGACTGATTTGGTTATTGTTCAATTTAGGGCTTGCAGAAAGGATTTAGTGTGTTTATCCTTCTAATTTTGGAGGTAGACTATCTTGGGTGTGCCAGGATTGATATTTCCCTGACTAGTGGACCCTGGTTCTCTTCTAAATATCAAAGATTTTCCATTTTTGGTTTTTTGAGGAACAGTTCATTT